TTATACATAAACTATATTTTATAGTTTATTTTATTATTAAATTTAATAAAATAACAAACACTTCATTTCTAACACAACAATCCCATTTAAACTATCACTAAAACATGCAGTATATAATGAAAAATCATTAATATCAACTCCTCCATGAAACTGTTCTTCTAGTTTAAAATAACAATAAACAGACATCTCCATTTTAGATGAGACAAGATAAAATTTAAGGATATGAGTTTTTTGTCTCTTTCCATTCATTGCAACTACTAATACCTTTTCATGCGTTCGTGGATGTTTAGCAACTCCTATAACAAAACATCTAATTATTAATTACATTTTTTACAACTTAAACTCTGACAAACATTGGTAAATCTACATCAACTAAACTTCTTTCTTTAATTTTTTTAATTGCCTTTATTATAAAATCAGATTTATCTGTTTCTAAACATCCTTGTGGATGAAAACGTAACATAGACATAACCTCGATATCTGGTGTTGTCATTTATCCTCAATAAAGTGATTAATCATATTTTCTGTTTCCTTTTCTCTTCTTTTCGTTCTACTACAAAGAAGAAATTTTTATCGAATCATCCATTTAATAATTATCATTTACTTTAATTTATAATAAATTTTATAATATTTTATAATTTCTTTTTTTTCTTATTAAAAAAAAATTAAAATAAAAAATTAAAAAACTAAAAATTCAACCCTATCAGATTAATCCATCATTGTTCATGGCTAACAAGAACATCAGTTTTGAACTTAAATCTACTCTTAATGGACATAACGGTGCTGTTACTGCACTTGCTGTTGCTACAACTAAAGCTGATACTCTTGTTTCAGGATCACGTGATAAAACTCTTATGACATGGAAAATTGATACAAACTCAGAAGCACAACCAGAAATCATTGCCCCAACCAAGTCACTTCATGGACACAGCCATTTCATTAGTGATCTTGTTCTTTCAAACGATGGACAATTTGCTATTTCATCATCATGGGATCATACTTTAAGACTTTGGGACCTTACTAAAATGGAATCAGTTAGAAGATTTGTTGGACATGAAAGTGATGTTATGTCAGTTGCTTTTTCTGCTGATAACACTAAAATCCTTTCTAGTGGACGTGATAAAACTATTAAATTATGGAATACTCTTGGTAAATGTGTTGCATCAGTTAAAACTGATTCTCATTCTGAATGGGTTTCATGTGTTAGATTTGTTCCAAATGCTAAAGGAAACAAATTTGTTTCTGCTGGTTGGGATAATCAAGTTAAAACATGGACTCTTGACCAATCATGCAAATTAGAATCAACTATTACTCACCACACTGGATTCATTAATACTATTGCTTTCTCACCAGATGGATCAATTATGGCTACTGCTGGTAAAGATGGTAATATTGCTTTCTGGACTCTTAACAATGGTACTGGACTTTATGAATTCCTTTATGATGTTGCTGTTAATTGCCAAGTTTATCAAATTGTCTTTGCTGAAAATCCAGAACAATACACTCTTCTCGCTGCCACTGAACTTGGAGTTGTTGCTATTAAAGATAAAGAAATTGTTGGATTTATGAAAACTAGTGGTTGTATGTCTATTTGTCTCTCTGCTACTAAAGACATAATTTTCACAGGACACGTTGATAATAAGATCAGAATGTGGAAAGTTGGTATTGCTAGTTCTGTTCACGCTTAATTGATCCTCTTTAATATAAAGGTTTTGAGAATAAGATTTAGTTTCATTTGTGTGATTAAATCATTTTTTGGATCTCATTTTGACACGAGATTTTATTAATGAAAAAATGAAAGGAAAAAACAGTCATATTATTTTATGATTTTTTGTTTAAAAAAAATTGAAGTTCTTTATCAGTTAAGTATT